GACGTAAACTGACCTTTAAATATTAATCTCATTTAAACTCACATACAAATATTGTTCAAATATTGATTTAAACTCACCTTTAAATATTGATCTCATGTAAATGCATCTTTAAACACAGATTTGATATAAACTCAAGAGAAACTTGATGTAAACTCTGAGATTATGTAGATCTGTAGCATGATGCACGAATCTGAGTTTCAGAGTAGGGATGAAATTGACAAGACTATAAAACACGAGTAATTTCTTTAAAGGTGTTATGATCTGCATTCTATATATATATATATATATATATATATATATATATATATTGAATGCAGATCATAACATATATATGGTATATATATATATATGTGTGTGGTATATATAATGTTCTCTCTGGTCCACTTATAATGCTAGCTAGATTTTTTTTTAAAACATCAATTTAGAAGTAATAGGCTGTTTTTTTATCCTATTTTTGGCACTCTCTTTGAAACAGTCCATATTGATGTGTGTGCCGCATTCAAGACTATAAATGCCCACTTCTATGGTAACAGTTTTGCACACTGAAATAATAATAGATTGATGCTGCTGTGATATACTCTGAAAACAAAGTGTGTTTGTTAGTGCATTTTGGTTAAAAATGCATTAATACGCAGTACATAGAATGATCTGTAACAGACAAATCAATGGTGACACGTGGTAAAAACATTTTTACGCCTTTGTGTTGCAGATCTACTATAGTTGCAATGCATCATCTTGATTTAATGAGTCAACAGTAAAATTAAGTAAACAAATGAACAGCGTCTCACTGACATGGTCTGGAACATTCTTTCCTAATGTTACACCATGTCTACACCGGACGCCAGGGGAACACTCACATCCTGTGTAGACACGTTGTTAAGATCAAAGAAAATGCAAAATGCAAAGTTTTTCCACATCTTGGCACTGCACATCTTTTTATTCTCTGAGGCATCACTATTGTTTTGTTGCTTGACTAATCCTGTGCTTGCCTCTCTCTTTTATTTACTCACCTCCTACTACATGTGTGAATGATGTAGAAGTAGGCATTGCAGAGGCGGTCTTTCATCACGCTATTACATCATACTGAGACAAAATATAAGCTTTGCAGCTTGGTTTCTATAAAAGCTGAGTTCTGAAACTTACAGGGTGTTTTTTTTTAGTACAATGACCCCTAGTATTTTAAAAGATCACTTTCAATTCATGACCCCTTTAGAGATTAAGATCAGATCAGTATGAAGATTAAGATCAGTATGAAACTCTTTATGAATTTAAACACATTTACAAGGAAAGAAGAAACACTGCTGCTGCCATGAAAGTTGCTCGGGAGCCGAGCAGGTTAGCCATGTAAATTGCCATGGTGATGAACACTAATCTACCTTATTGAGCCCAAAAAGTTCAAACTAAACTAAATCTTACCTGGGTAGCCACTAAAACTAGATTCATGCAACAGGCCACTGTACATATATATACTGTATATGCATATATATATTTATTTTATTTTTTTGCTGTGCTGAAATTTCACATATTGAAGCTCTAAAAAAAACACCTCTCAGTAACCACTTGATCGAGTTTGTGTTGTTTCTGAGTGGGTTCTTCCATTTCAGTGGCCACAAATAAACATTAAAAAAGAATTTAACACCCACTCTCATACTGACTGAGGATTATGATGGCAATGAACAATAAACAATGACTAAAACACAAACACACATACTTAACCATAACAGAAAACTTTCCACGTTTCCTAAAAAAATAGCAAATTTGTCCCCAAAATATGGTTCCACAGAGAAGCACTTGAACAAGTTGAATTTGAAATGGCTGCTTTAGTTGCCTGCTGTTTATCTGCCAGATTGTTGCCTCTTATAGAATGATAACTAATTAAATACAATAGCAAATAACATGTCAAACATACTGTATGTATTTTCATTTTCATAAGAACCATGTAAAGATCTAGAAAACTGTCAAATAAATTTGGCAGGTAGAATCTTACCATAGGCTGTGTTTACACTTGGCATTAACATGCGACCTGTATCCGGATGTTGTCCACATACACATTGAAAAGACAAGTGTAAACGCGCTTCTGATCGGAATGTTATCCGATCAGCATATCCAGGTCCAGCGGTAGTCAAGGACACATTGTGGTCGGATCTCAGTGTAATGTAAACACAATCTAGCCATCGTGTCTGCATTCGCAGGTCGACGTCACAGAAAACCCCGCCCCCTCTCTCCTGAACTGTCAGAAGACTTATTTAAATATTGTGTGGGAAAGAGAGATCCGATCGGTTATCCAGATAGAGAAGTCACTTGATGTTGCTAAGTGTAAATGTGCCGTGTCCTGATTGACTGATGATCTGATCTGCTTGATCGGATTACAGTGATCGCATGGAAACGCATCCATAGAGATGGCACTTCCTGTCCATCATGTGTCTCTCCTTCAGGATGTTTCTACTTGCAGGCCTGTTTAACACTCGTAGATACCTAGATTGTCTTATTTCTCTTCACTGGACTTATCCAAAAAAAGCAGCAATGTTATGTCCTATATGTTGTTTGGGAAACATAGAAAAAACCTTCAATCTGTGGTCAAAGCCAGTATAATAATTTCTGACACAATCGGACAGTTTGTGTGTGTGCTGATTCACAGGACTGTGGTCAAACACATCTTAGGTAGACACACACTCATTCTTCCCCCTCCCTCTCTCTACTTCCTGTGCGAAACTGGCCTCCTCATCTCCTCCTGCAGTGTGCTCCTCTATACTGTCAAAGTGCTGCATGAGCTGCAAAGCACATGATTTGTTCCAGAGCCTTTATTCCAGACATCAAACTCCTAAAACCCACAGTCCAATCTTTCTGGACCCCTCTGCCTCGGTCATGTTTATGTGTAGTACATGTCATCAGAATACGGGATTTGACCAGTCATTTGCTTTCTGTTTAGACACACACATTTGCAGCAGTGTAACCACACATTTCCGGATGTTTAAACTTGATCAAATGAGACTCTCTACAAAAAGCGAGTTTGCTTGCAATCTCTCTTTGGTGGAGTAATGGCGTCATGATCTAAAAATAACATGTTACTGATCAATCGAATCACTTACACTGAAAGGAAAATGGCAAGCACACATTTTGCATCTAACATACACTCTGAGAATACATCTGTCTATTTAAAACCGGAGACATTTAATAAGATTTAGAAAAAAAAATGCTAAATGCTAAATGAAGAACAAATGTTAAAGGTTCTACATTATTTCATACATTTATTACATTCATTATTGCTTAAATTCAATTCAGTGTTTTAAATTGTTATGCTGATAACATCTGATGTGTAATAATAAAAAAATTAGATTAAAATGTAACATTTGTAATGGTATATAATTAATTTTTTAAAATACTTTTTATGAAATGTTGCAATATTTATTATTAAATGATTTACCTGTGCACATCATTATTTTTTTTGAAATTCATGTGCCCTCATAATCTTTAATCAAAATGATTGTTTTTCCGCAGATTTATTTTTTCTTACAGTGTGAGTGTTCAGAGAAACAGGTCAACACTTGAACGGTTAGACTGGGACATAAGAAACACATCTCAGCTGCACACATATGCATGGACCTCTCAGGCTGTTTGAATAGAAGCTGTTAAAATGTGTGGTTTAAATAATACATGAATGCTCTTCATGACATTTTAAGGGTAGACAAGGGTAGAAATGCTTCAGGGGAGTGGGTGGCACAATTTTCTGCTGACCCAGAGAGGGCAGAACCTCACCCAACTAAATTCCTGAGATGTGTCAGCCCCAATACTCTAAAACAAGACAACAGCAAGAAGAGCTGCAGGCTAATGCAAAACAATAGAGAGAGACAGTTAGAGAAAGAGACAGATTTTGTGTGACTGTAATGAGAAGAGACGAGAGAACTTTCCACATAAACACATTTGATAAGCTCATCTTTGCTCTGACTAGTTAACCCTCAGGACACTTAACCATCAGAGTCAGAGTGTGCACAAATATATCAAAAAGAAGCAAAATACAAATGCTTGAACATTTTGTTTTACAAATGTTTTTTTTTCCCCATCAAATATTTGTCATGTTCTGATTTTGCATTAATTTAGAAGGAATAATAGCAATATCACTCTCTTTTCAAACCCATTACCCCAGGGGTGTCCAGTCCTGTTCCTCAAGAACCCAGATACTGATCTGGTCTTTGATCTATAAGATCTACTTTGATCCATGTACTGTATAGCTACTGTTGTACAAGGTTATTACAGTTTCTCCAAACATTAGTTTATTCACACTCCCATCATTCACAGGAAGTACCACACCTAACTAAAAATGAGGCTCTTCTCCATTTCTATCCATTTTAAAGTCTTCTGTACAGTTCCAATTGCCAGCCATTATAGTACTACACTGTTAATTTTGTCACATTGATAAATTATATGCTTAATTATTACACGCATTTCACATTTATCCAGTCATGGGCTGTTTTACCAAACTCACAATTTTATTTTTTTTTACAGCGTTTTATTTTTTCAGCCTCAACTACCTGGCCAGACCATTTGCCTACATCTTGAGTTGCATTGTTAACATCACACTAATGCTTGCTTGAGCCTTGATTGTGATAAATAATCTGTTTATGTCCAACACTCAAAACACTTCATACTACAGCTGTAGCATAAACCATGACAATTGTTTGTTAATCTTATTAATCAGGAAGACTAACACTGCTTTACTCATCCTCAATGCTAAGGTTGTTTTCAAAACCAATTTGTTTCCCCACTGCCAGCAACACATCCTCCAATGAAACACCCAACGAGCTTTGGCACACACTTGACTATGACAGAGTCAAAGAGATAAGTAAATAAGAGGCAAGAAATAAGTATAAGCAGACAACAGAAAAATTATCTTTCTTCACCAACACAGCATCCAACACATCTATACCTTGCAAGAAGGGAAATGAATCATTAAAATGAGAGAAAGGAAGAGGAAAGATAAATTTGAACTCAAGAATACTCACTGGGCACTGCGATATCTGCCTTTTCCACTTTCAGGCTGCACAGGGGTGAGGTGCCAGAGGTCATTCTGGTTTCAAATGATGTAGTGTGGTCTTGCTCTGACACTTCTGCCATAGTGACCATTGGTGGTCTGGCCTCTGCATCCTTACTGCTGCTGGCTGACTCCTCCACCATCAATCCCTGCAATTAACATTTTAAATGAATGCTTGAGGTCTTCAAGACTATGACAGTTTTGTACACTTTTGTAACACTTATAATATTAATCAAGGTTTCTTGCTCACAGACTTTAGTTTTTCATGACAAATTTCAACCATATTTCTGACCCTTAGGATTATACAGGTTGAGTTGTCCCCCCTTTTTGGCGGCTATGGTAAAATGGGTAATTAAATGGAAAATCAAAATGTCCTTCATATTTACACAAGAGGTTTCTCCACAATAGTCAAGTCAAGTCACCTTTATTTATATAGCGCTTTTAACAATACAGATATATAATTCTTCACAGTAAAAAACATACTACAAGTTCCATTTCTCAAAACTGACTCTCCAGTTAAAAATATGAGTTTTTGATTTCCACCCTTCTAAAATGCCAAGATTTGAACCCACCTCATTTGTGACGTCACAAGACTATGGGTAAATGACGTCTGTTATGATTGCTCTTCACAAGTGCCAAAGGAGTTTTATTGATTGCTTACAACCAACTACCCAAACCAACTACCAAATGTAGACCAGTAATCCATCCCACAAAGAATCTGTGGCTGTACAACTCTGCAGAAGTCTAAGGTTGCATTACATATCACCTGGCCCTTGCATGCTCATTTATAAAATTATTTTTTGCTAATTTGATGATTTTAGCCACCAACAAGATTCAAATGCCCTAAGTTCAATTTAACACATTCTACCATGGTAGAGTTAATATCCGATTTTTCACAATATTTAATAAAACTTTTTAAATTTAATAATACAGATTCTATTTGTGCCAGCGCATACGTAAAGATCAATGCTAATAGGCTAATAGGCTCTGTCAGCTGCACCACTGTTTTTAGCAGCTGTCTTTACTTTGATTTCTGGGGAACGATGAAAGTCTTATCTTTCATGTGACATTGCCCAGATATGAGACAGACTGCTCATAGATCCATCAGATGAACAAGAGAAACAGAGGAAAAGGAGATTTTGAACAGCACGTGAGCACTGATGAGATGCTGTCTGACCAGAAAAGGAAGGTGAGATGATGAAAGTGAGGAAACAGGGGATCCCAGAGGAAAAAATTATTGCTCACTGGTTGCTCTTCCTAAGCTCAGGAGACTTAATGAATGACGAGGTATCATATCGATCACAAGTACAGTATGGAGTACCACAAGTCTCAGTACTTGGACCATTGCTTTTCATGCTTTACATGTTACCCTTGGGAGATATCATCAAGAAACATGGTGTTAGCTTTCACTGTTATGATGATGATACTCTGCTCTATATTTATTCGCGGCCAGATGAAACATACCAATTCGCAAAACTAACGGAATGCATAGTTTATATAAAAAAACTGGATGACTAGTAATTTCCGCATGCAATAACCTAGAACACTGTCTAACACTTGATGGCTGCTCTGTTAATTCTTCATCATAAGTTAGGAACCTAATAGAAATTTTTGCTTTGAAAAACATGTTTTTAGCATTTGTAAAACCACATTTTTCCATCTTAAAAATATATCAAAATTATGACTTTTGCTCTCAATGGCAAATGTAGAAACGTTAATTAATGTGTTTATGATCTCAAGGTTAGATTATTGTTATGCTTTATTGGGTGGTTGCTCTGCGCGCTTAATAAACAAACTCCAGCTGGTCTAAAATGCAGCAGCTAGAGTTCTTACTAGAACCATATTACCATCTTACTAGAACCATTTTAGCCCGGTTCTGTCAACTCTGCACTGGCTCCCTATTGAACATCATATAAATTTTAAAATCTTGTTAATTACTTATAAAGCCCTGAATGTTCTCTTTTTAAAGCAGGCATTTTGCTCTGGCAACTACAGCAGTGCAGTGAGAATATTAAACAACAATCTCATTTTGAAACACACACTCGTATTTAAAAAGAAATCGCAAAGGCCTTCTGAGGCTGTTGCAGACTTTCGGAATTTCCGGAAAAAAAAGACATGAAATGCAAGCTCATGTGAATTTTGTTGCATTCCAAAGTTCAACTTTTATCTCTGCCCTGTGAATTTGTATCACATTATGACACATAACCAACAGAAGACTGACACATCACAGTGTGACCTTTTAGCTGAATTAAAAGAACAAAAACTTTAAATTTGTGTTGCAGTAAAGTGGAGTAGGTTGCATATTTTTTATGTTTTGGCTGTATAATATTTTGAATTATGATTTTATAAATGTCTGTAGAAATTGTCTAGTGACTGTGGAATAACCATGATCACCTTAATTAGATGGTTCAGGTGTAGGCTACTTGACTGGGGTTTAGATCCACACTGTGAAAGGCATGCATATCTCATTAAAATACATACATGATACATCACACAAAACACGTGTTGCATGATGAGCAACTTTAAAATTTTTGTTGGAACGCTTTTTGAAGTATCAAATGAACTTTGTAACAAGTGTGAAATGTGATGATTACGGTTGCTACTGAGGATGAAGAATGTTGAATAAATGCTTGAATTTGGGTCTGCTCCTCACAAAAAGCATTAATTAATAATATATTCAAAAAAATTGGGTGTATAATAAAAAGGGTATATTTATCAATGTATGTAATCCTTTTACATATACATTAATGCAATTCTTTTAAACTAGTTGGTACAAGAAGTCACACAGAACAGAATGGAAAGCTATAATCATGTTAAACAAATGCAACTGAATAAATTGACATGACATGTAGCCAAGTAGGGTGTCCCATACTCAGAATGTGTGCTCTGCATATAACCCATTCCAGTGCACACACACAGCAGTGAGTAGTGAACACACACCTGGAGCCATTTTTGCTGTGGCACCCGGGCAGCAGTTGAGGGTTCGGTGCCTTGCTCAAGGGTCTCACCTCAGTCATGGTATTGAAGGTAGAAGAGAGTGCTGTACATTCACTCCCCCCCCTACAATCCCTGCCGGTACCGAGACTCGAACCCACAACCTTTGGGTTACAAGTCAGACTCTATAAGATTAGGCCATGACCAATTAAATTCCATGAATTCCGTAAAAAAGGATTAATAAAGGTATACATCAATAAAGTTGTTCATAGACGCTGTAAATATGTCAAAATTGTAATTTTATTGTCTATGCAAATATAAGAAAATGAATGTGTGGTAGAACCAAACTTTAAATGTAAAATAGATATGAATACTCATGAGATCACATTGATAAAATATTATTTTAAAGGTTTTTGTGTTAAAACATGAGGTGGGTAATTAAACAGTAGTCATTTTCTCCTAGAAAATTTCAGTTTGACTGTGGCACTAGATGTTTATTCATCAGACAGATTCACAAATCACTTTAAATCGCTCCACACTAAATATGATGCATAAAAACCAAAGCTATCCACACAAAATATAAAGCGAAACAAAAAAGCTAATTCAAGGTGCAATACATGGTACAACATGTAGCACAACTTTCATTGCTCTGCCTTTCAGGTATGAGAAGAACAGAGGCAGGAGAAGAAAATTCAATGCATCTCAGCAATTAAAAAAGAGAGAGAAACATAGATGATGATGACTACCTAAAACCAAGGCATTGTCACAGAACAGCCAGGTCTCCACACCAATCAATCCAATGTTCGTTCTCGTTTATACGCAAATGACTCATTCCTTACCAGTGTTGGGGAAAGTTACTTTTAAAAGTAATGCATTACAATATTGCGTTACTCCCTAAAAAAAGTAACTAATTACGTTACTTAGATACTTTTTATGGAAAGTAATGTGTTATATTTCTTTTGCGTTACTTTTTAAATATAAGCAGGACTTGATTGTTTTTAATATAAGAAGTTCTATTTATAGCAAATATAAAAGCCCTTTCACACCAAAAAGTGTAATGAATAAACCTCAGGCAAAAGTAAATTCACATCTGTACAGTAGAACGCAGGAGAAGAAACACTCTTCAGCAATAAAAAAACTAAGCACAATTGTTAGTTTATCTAAAGTCATTTTTGCTTATTAGTATGGTGGAAGCACATCGGTGATGTGGAGGGAGAATATACCTTTCGCTGGTCTCACTGTCATCCCGTGCAAGTCTGTAAAGATGACCTCGTCTTCATTATGCTCTGCTTCATCATCATCGGCTTGAAACATTCTGAATGCCTTTACAAAGTTCGTGCCATTGTCCGTGACAGTGGCAGTTATCTTACCACAAAGAGCAAATGAGCTGTGAATTTGCTCTAACTCCGCTGCGATGGCATCGTACATGTGTCTCCCACGAAATTGCCTTCAGGCGATTGCAGCTTTTTGGCGATGCAGACTAGCAGGGTCGATCCAGTGTACAGTAATGCCCAGAAAACTTTTATTCTGAGCAGTCCATAGATCTGCAGGGGTGGAAACATATTCCAGGTCGGCAAAAGTTTTCTTTAGGTCTGTCTCCATTTCCATATATGCATTGTCCAAAAAGTTTGTAAAGGTTTTGCGATCGGGCAACACGCCCCCGGTCCTTTTGCCTGTCACTGAGATTTTGCTTACGATATTACGAAGTGTAGGCGCCTCCACAGTGGATAGTGGCTGCATCTCCTCGACAATAAAAGCAGCAACCAATTTGTTGAGTTCAGACGAACTAATTGCTTTACCTGGTGAAGGTAAACTGAAATCAAGCTTTTGTTGTTTAGCTTGAGGCGGGGTGCGGGTATCATTCGGCTCTTTTGCATGCAGATGTTTTTTTAAATTTGAAGTGGTGTTTTTTGCAGTTGACGAGTTTTTCACCTACACATAATCTACACGTAACGACAATCCCCTTCTCCCTTTCTTCGACGAGTTCAAAATAATTAGAATACTTCCATTGCAGAAATGTAAAGCTCTGACTTGCCATCTTTGTTTCTGACTATGTCTGTTCCCGTGCATGCATTGAGTGCGTGATTCTACGTGATTACGTTCATTTTAATTATACATTTTTTTAAAGCAAATTAATTAAACTGAAAAAAGTAACTTACATTACTTTTTTTTAAAGTAACTTGAATATTCATGTGTAAATTTATAAAGTAATGCG